AAAAAAGATGCACTGTTCATGTATGAGAAGGTAAGATGAGTTCAGTGGACCACAGGAATCTGTCCAGGACACGACCCTGTGTGATGACAGTCCAAAGCCCAGTCAGGTTTACCGATGTGGGGACACCCAAAGCCACTAGGGCTTTCTCTGCCTGCTCTTATGACTTGAGCTAGAGCTGGACAAGACTTCGAGAGTCTTGAATCTTTCACCTAAAAGAGACATATGGATTCAGACGGGACAAAGAAAACAGTACTTTCTATGTCATTTCTGAATAGAGAATTTAAACATAAGAATAATAAAAGAGGACCTCAAACCAAAACCAGACACAGATTACCAGACACAGATTTTTGGTTATGCGTGGCTTCAGGCTATTATTAAAGAAACTCTTTGAGTTCCCCAAGGGCTTTTTTTGTTTTCTTTTGTTTTCTATTCTTTTTGTCATCCCATTGCCAACTCAGGGATTACTGGCTTCTGGAAAATCCAGGGAGTTTTGAAAAAGAAAATCTGTGGTAGTTTATGATTCAAATGGAACAATACAGACTGGTCTTTTATGCCAAGATGGTGCTGGTAACTCCCCTACTCGACAGGAACATGCTGCCAGGTGTGTTCAGTAGAGGAGATTGATGGTATGAAACATCTACATTCTCATTCCTGAAGGTCTTAAAATATAATGCACAGCTTTGGGACCAGATGTTTGGTTGGAGTTAGGGCTGTAGCCTGGAGTTATGAAATAATTATTTTTTCCTTTGGGAATCTAATTGTGTCCTTTGGTGGGGCAAGTTACCAAATTTCTTTCTGGTATTTCAGGAGGCATAGTTATTTGATAAAATTGGACTTTCAAGTGACTCTATCAAAAAATTCTACTGTATGGGCCAGCATAGTGGCTGAGGCAGCTGGACCCCACATGACCAACAGCACAGTTCAAGTCCTGGATCTGGCGGCTTGGAACACACCAGGCACATGTGTGTGCATGTCCAAAATCTTGAGAAGATAATGGAGAAGAGATTGAGGCATGGCCAACCTCCCTGGGGGGGCGGAGGGGGACGTGCTTTCTCGCTTTTCTTCTCTGTCTCTCTCTGACAAGCACATGCACCCTATAGCAGGTTTAAAAAAGAAGATTCTGCTGCACAAGGCCCCTCACCAGTCGAGGCTCAGATGGGAGACGGAGACTTTCAATGGCACCATATTAAGAGGCATATTGAGGTTTTGCTGAAGGTAACTTCTACTGCCTGACAGCTTGGCAAGCAGGAGGGTTTTATTATGGCTGGATTATGGCATTGAGCAGAAATGACCTCATCCTGGTCCCCCAATTCCCAGAAACCAAGTAGGGGGGGGGAAGAAGCCTGGTCAGCATCTTATTTCATTCTGGAGACAGTAGGGAGCTGGTTTCTTTGTCTACCTTAAATTCAGAAGGGGCCATCCTTAAGATGCTCCCCAAACATAAGTCTGTTAGAGCTGAGAGAGAGAGAGAGAGAGAGAGAGA